CAGTTCAAAACTACCAGCTGTTCCGCAGGAGAAAGATGAGGTTTTCTGCTCCTGTAAAGATTTATAGCCTTGGAAACCCTGTACAGAGTCGGTATGCATCGGAACCGACTCCACAGCACATAACCACCACCATGAGTTGGAACCAACTCATCAGCACTTAAGAACAATTTAACAACATTAAAAGTGTCATGGATTGCAAATAGTACCTGGCTTCAATGGCTGGATGATCAAAGCTCAAACAGAAAAAGAGAGAAGAGGGAATAAAGAATAATCTGACACAATTTGATGAACTTGACACATACTTATGGAAGCAATAGTTCAAAAGTGTGAACAAATCTTCACAATGAGGATCATTGTCACCTTCACTGCACATGGAGAGGATGGGGATGGGCAACTTGGACATTGGCTACCCAGAATGGCGGGCGCGGGGCTACGGAGGCAAGAAGTGACTGGCTTACAAGCTTTCAAGAGGGAACCTAGATCCAGAGGGCGTGGAGCAAGGTAGAATCTCCACTGAGTAGTACCCATTCTGCCTAGTCAGGGCTGAATGGGTCCCTTGCAATACAATAAGGAGATGCTGATAGGTCCCTTGCAATACAATAGTGAATAATTATTATCAGGACTGATTGTAAGGGCTGGAAATGTAAAGGTGGACATTTTGGGCAAAGGGAGGGGAGTGATTAACCTTACAGTCTAGGAACAGAGGTCCCTGGGACCATCAAAGGAGAAGAGCAGAGAACAGAATCCTACCCAGAGAAGCAGTGATGCCAGGGATGGAGGTAGAGACAATGGCATGGGGAGATGGAGTAGCTGGAGACTTTGGACCTAGAGAGAGAGAGAGGGACGGTGTGTGGATGACAGGGTGGCAGGCTCACGGGGTATACCCTTTGGTTGATCGATGATGCATGGAAGGGATTGTAACCATGGCAAGGAAATGATATATGACGGGAACAATGTGAAGTTGATGTCCTCCCATGTAAACGATCACATAATTCACAATAAAGTATTAAAAAAAAAAAAAGTGTCATGGAATGCCAGAAGAACAAAGCAGTGCTGGAAGAAGTACAGGCAGAATGCTCTTTAGAACCCAGGATGGAGAGACTTCATATCTCATACTTCAGACATATTATCAGGAGGGGCCAGTCCTGGAGAAGGACACCGTGCTTGGTGAAGTGGGGGCTCAGAGAAAAGAGAAAGACCCCCAACGAGATGGAGTGGCAGCCGCAGCAATGGAATTAAGCATAGCAACAATTGTGAGGATGGCACAAGACCTGGCAGTGTTTCGTTCTGTTGTGTATCGGGTCACTATGAGTCAGAACCGACTGAAGGCCCCTAACAAGTTTTGTACTAAATTATTACCCATGTTAGTATTATATTAAATGTATGCTGGATTGCATTTGCGTGTGTGCCAAACATACATTTTTTTAACTCTTTATTGTGAATTGAATGAAGAGCCACAGAGCAGATGATCAGTTTTACTTTCTATAAATCACATGCTTTTTACTTCATTTCAGGGATTACAGTCCCCTTCAGCTAACATCAGTTATCCCACTTCCTCCATGTGATTCTTGTTTCCATTCCACCTTCTTTTCTATGCATCTTAATTTTGACCTTAGGTAAATGCTGCCCTTTTGATTTTGAATCGTTGCCTGTTCATAAATCAAGTTCATCATTGTCAAAAACTAGGGTTGTTTTACCCCCTCTCCCATATGCCTATCTACTGCTTGCCAAATATAGTTTAATGTTATAAATATTATCGTTTACAAAGCTTAGGACATAACGCTATATGTAAAGTTTATACAGTTAAAAAGTAACAATTTAATTCATTGCAGTGGTCAACTTATTTCAGTTCCTTCATGTTAGTATTTCATCTGGGACTCCAGTTCCCATTGATGTTTTTAACCAGTTTTGCACAAGAACATACCTTCACGTTTGTGTCATGACAAAGCGCACTGGATGCCCTCCTGATTGGAGTTACTAGATCAGCAGCTGTGGATGTTTAAGACTCTCTCAAAATGAATCAGAGACCTGCTATCTATTAATATAATCTGTTCTTACCCAGTAATCACTCATATTAAATTCAGTTGCATATTGTGTGGATGCAGTTAGACTTAACAGCTCACTCACGTTACTTGTTTATTTAAAAGAAATAGTATACTTCTAATAGACTGGTCACAATAATGAGTTTCAATGACATGGGAGGGACTATAGGAGTCAAATGTCAACAAAGGTGTTGAAATGGTAGGGGACTCATAACTTAAACAACCTTGTACATGAGCACCCTCGTGACCCTGCGTGAACTTTATTTCCAGCCCACACATTCTCACACACTGGAGCTGGTATCAACTTTATTTACTGCCCTGCCACTTCCCTTCCACTGCAGCACTTGCCTTTCTTCTGTTCTGTCTGCTGGGCATCTAGGAGTCTTTGCTTTGGGAAATGGATGTTCCTGTTTTGTTGATGCCTTAGGCAGGTGCTTACCTTGCTTATTGGGTAATCCATCCTTAGTTACACATGCTGCTCAGTGGTGCTGATAGAGATGTATTTGCCAGGTTGTAATTCTGGTTCTAGCAACCCTCTGAGGCTGAGATCTTGAACAAAGGTGAAGTTGTTTCATTCAACTATTGTAAGCCAGTCATGAGAGTAGATGTGATTACCAGGTGTGTGAGCAACACTCTTGCCTCTACTTCCTGTCTCAAATCCAGCCTCCCTATAATTAACTAAGAAAATTCTCAGGCTTCTCAATAAGAAACTGTGTTATCAGAAACAAAACCAGCTGCTAGAGAAATAAGTCTTCACTTCCCTCTGGTGGCCAAAGGATGCTACCACACAAGTGGGTTTCCACTTGTGTTAAAAGGAATGAAAGTAACCTTTAGTTGAAGTTGATTGTTTTTTTGACTACAGAATTGAAACAGTTTCAAGCAAGATGAAGAATAGATTGGGAAAATTTTATGAGGTGGAAAATCAGGTGCATGGTTTTTAAAATAAATACTTAATACAAATAATTCCACCCTACTATGGAGTCTGGAGTCCTGGTGTGGTGCTATTGGTTGATGTGATAGACTGCAAAGTCGAGTTGAACCGCAGGGTTCGTGGCTCAAGTTCACCAGCCACTCCTTGGAAACCCTATACAGGGTCACTATGGGTTGGAACCTACTCGACGGCACTCAACAACAACAACTATGGAAAAAGAACATGTAATTTCAAATTTCTAATCTAGGCTCTGCCACTATTTAGCTAATTCATCTCACCTTTTCAGGCCTGAATTTTCTCATCTACATGAGGAGCTGGATTAGATGAATTCTGGTACCAGGTCTTTTGTAAATTTTAAGATGGAATTAAAGTTTTTTGCAAAAGGAAGAAAAATATTTTTTATTCATTGTTATACCACTTATTGCTGATATACCCAAATAATAATAATCTCTATTCCAGCTCTACTGCAAAACAGGTGCCTAGAGCTTGGTGTTATACATCAAAGCAGGAGAATGGGGTCTCCAAAGTCTCCAATTCTAAGCACCTCTCCTTAGTCTCTGTTTTTGAACTCATTGCTCAAGATGTTCTTCCCTCAACTACTGACATGGCTGCCTCACTGCCATCCAGAGTCACAGCCACAGCTGTTACTCCTCAGAGGAGCTCCTTGACCAATCTTTGTACAAGACTTTCATCAATCACCTGGCATGTGACAGTCCTCTTTATTTTATTCATGCCAATAATACACTGTGTAGGAAACATATTTATTTAGGAAGGTGCTTGTTAACTGTCTCTCTTGCTGGAATGTAAAGTCCAGGAGAGCAGGAATGTAGTCTATCTTGTCCAACTCTATCCTCAATGCACAGAATGACAGCCTGACTTCATGAATAATATCTGATGGAATTCTTTGAACAAACAGTTCTATAAAATCAACAGTAGGAGGTGAGGATGAATTGACATCTTCACATATAAAAATGTGGTGCTTCAAGTCTTAATGAGTAAACCCTTAAGGGAGCTCTGGTGGCATAGTGGGTTACACATTGGGTTTTTAACCACAAGATTAGCAATTCTAATCCACCATAGAGACTCCTTGGGAGAAAGATGAGAATTTCTGTTATCAAAGAGATTTATAGCCTCAGAAACCCAGGGTTTCTATGAGTCAGAACAGACTTGATGGCAAACAACAGCTTCATTGGAAAGAGAACTAGTGACTCTAACTGCAAGTTTGGCCATTCAAACCCATCAATTGAAAGAGTTACAGTCTTGGAAACCTGTATAGCGTCATTATGAGTCGGAATGCACTCAGTGATGGTGGGTTGGGTTTGGTTTGAATTTCCTCATTGGGTCTTAGGGAAGTGACTGAAGTCACCATGCAGATCCTGCTACTTCCTTCCCACCCCATTTGAGACCCCCATGCCCTCATTAGGTCTGGGCTGAATTCTGGTGAGGAGTTCAGGTCACATGCTCTCTCTTACACTTGTGTTACTCTGTGCATTTGTCTAGGTCCCTACCAACCCTCATTACTCCTCAGCTGAGAGCAGTGACATAATTTTCATGTCCCAGCACTGAGTCAGGTGTCTAGCAGGCACCCATTCGATATTGATGACAAAATGAAATGTATCAGAACAATTACACAAGTTCTAGAGAGTAGTCAGGGTTTCCTCTCTTTGAGGTATGCATGCTTCAAATGGAGCTGCAGCATCATGGAGGACCCTGTGACCTTCAGTAGGAGACTACTGAATCTCGATTTCCTCATTTTTAAAAAGGAGGAAATAGTAGTTCCCATATCATTGCATTTTTATGAGGATCAGACACGATAATTTGATTAAAACATACAGCATGTTGCCTGGGACATAGTTAATGCTCAGTAATTGTTGATTATTATGATTTCTTTTGTTTCACTATTTTTGTTCTCACTCTCCACTCTATAATTCTATAGATTGCTTTATTTCATCTCTTTTTAAAAGTGAATGTCTATGTCATTGGCAACATAAAGGAAAAGACAACCTTGCTGAAAAACACCTTTACAAATTGCCTGGGAATTCCCCAGGAAGCTATTGAAAACGAAGTGTCATAGCCCACCCCTGATTTGAAGGAGAAAATAACCTATGCAGATTATTTTTTATTAAGTGAATGCCCTTTCCTCCAAGATTCCTACCACCCCTTCATTTTTATCATATTTATTCAATCATATGCTGAGCAAATAATCCAAATAGCTGGATTATATGAAATAGAACTTGGTATTGAGATGAGAGGAAGACTCGTTAACAACTTGTGTAGATGATACAACATTGCTTGTTAGAAGTAGAACAGGACTTGAAATACTTAATGAGGAAAATAAATAAAACTATAGCCATCAGTATAGATTGCACTTCAATGTAAAGAAAACAAATATCCTCACAACTGGACCAATAAATAACATACAGATAAACG